AATTCCAGCTATTAAATCAAAGTACGATAAACATTTTAATTCAAAATATTAGTTTATGTTAAATTAATATTTAAACTGTCAAATGAACAAATAAACTTTGACAAACTCTGACTTTTGCTTTAACACCAAAATATAGATTAATCCAATAGGTTTTTTGTTGAAACAACATTTTTAAAAATGACATTTAGGCAAATGTTAACTCAACTACATTATTTTTTTCGGTGCATGTCTCGCATCTCTTCGTTAGAAAATAAATTATGTCGTGGCATTTTTAACTCAACTTTTAACAAGTTTCTTTAAAAACTTAAAAAAGAACTATAAAGTTGACAAATCACATGACAGTTTGATAGAAAAGAAGCCTACTTTGAAAAGTTGACCTTTGCAAATAAAAATTTAAACGGATGCATTAAATATTGTAAATGGAAAACTTTCGAAAACAAATCCCCGAATCGACATTTACAAGGTATATCTTTTTTGCGTAAAAATGGTGGGAAAATTGATATTTTTAATAAAAACATAAATAAGCGAAGGCGCGAAAAAGTTACACTCGTTTTTAGGTACCCAGAGCGTCGTAGAGAGCGCCCTCTACAATCTACATCAAAATTATTAACAAATTCAAATTTCTCGACCCAAAAAACCCCTAATCACAAAATTTTATGCAAAAATATTGAAATATAAACAAGTTAATTAGGAAAATCGAAAGTTAATTATTCACTGGGACACCTTGTATCTCGGTTATTGTCAACTTTTGAACTAAGCTAAGTTTGGTCTAATCGTAATTTTTTTACCCAAGGAATCTGCAGTTTTACTGTGTACCATTACAACCCTGTATATACAGGGTGGCCGATTTATCTGAAGACATTGAAATATTTCGAAAACTACGCATCGGATCAAAAAAAGTTTTGAATAAAATTTGTTCGCCTGGAAGGGGGACATCCAATGATACCAAAGTCGACCCCTCACCACCACCCCATGGGGTGGGGGTGGGGGCAACTTTAATATTCTAAATAGGAACCCCCCATTTTTTATTGCAGATTCGGATTTACTATTAAAAAATAAGTAACTTTTATGGAAAAACTTTTTTTAAATTCCTGATAGATGGCGCTGTAATCGCAAGAAACCCGATTTTTGGGAATATCTTAAAAAATTACACATCGGATCGAAAAAAAGAAAAACTTGTTTAATTTTTGGATTTTATTCGTAGTATAAATCCAAAAATTAAACAAGTTTTTTCTTTTTTTCGATCCCGATGTGTAATTTTTTCAAGATATTCCCAAAAATCGGGTCTGGATTACAGCGCCATCTATCAGGAATTTAAAAAAAGTTTTTCATAAAAGTTACTTATTTTTTAATAGTAAATCCGAATCTGCAATAAAAAATGGGGGTTCCTATTTAGAATATTAAAGTTGCCCCCACCCCCCACCCCATGGCCATGGGAACATGGGAACATCAAAAGGAATTAATTAATTTAATTTATTTTGAATTCCCTTACAATTCTCGTATACACTAATTATATTTTTTAATGGGAAATCCGAATCTGCAATTTTTCAAGATATTCCCAAAAATCGCGATTACAGCGCCATCTATCAGGAATTTAAAAAAAGTTTTTCCATAAAAGTTACTTATTTTTTAATAGTAAATCCGAATCTGCAATAAAAAATGGGGGGTTCCTATTTAGAATATTAAAGTTGCCCCCACCCCCACCCCATGGGGTGGTGGTGAGGGGTCGACTTTGGTATCATTGGATGTCCCCCTTCCAGGCGAACAAATTTTATTCAAAACTTTTTTTGATCCGATGCATAGTTTTCGAAATATTTCAATGTCTTCAGATAAATCGGCCACCCTGTATATATATATATATATAATATATATTATATATTTAAAAATTTTAAAGTTACACGGAGAGAAAAGTATATTACTGATTACCATAATTATAATACCCTTTACTATATTATACAGTGTGTCCGTAAAGTCCCGGAACATGTGATTATTTTGAAAACGGTAATTTTTTAAAAAAATCGCTGAAACATGTCAACTTTGTTATTTTTCTAGCAATATTTTAGCCTATGTAGTTGTTCCAAAATATGCCGCGTGGCGGCGCCCCAATCGAAGTAAGGTTTTTTTAAATTACAACCCCTTATTTTTGTTGCATTTTTGGATAGCTACCGTTGTCCTGAGTACATTGATATGCTACATGTGAAGGGTTACATAAGAAATTTTTTTAGAAAAGCAGGTTTTTGCAGCCGATTGAGATTTTGGTATTTTGACGAACTTATTCGCTGTTACGGGGCAGCACCACACTATGCATTGCTAGTAAGGGATTATTTAAATCAGGTCTTTCCCAATCGCTGGATAGGTCGAAGGGGTCAAATTGAGTGGCCAGCGCGATCGCCCGATTTGAACCCTTTAGACTTCTTTTTAAGGGGACATCTTAAAAACCGCGTCTATGTAAACAGGACGAATGAAGACACCGCATTCAAGCCGAGATCCAGATGATCACTCCAGCGGTACTGGCAAACGTACAACGCTCGTTTGTGGACAGGCTGGCCCACTGCCAAATAGTTTACGGTGGACACTTTGAGCAACTGCTCTGATAGGCTTTCCAAAAAACATTAAGCAACGCATAGATTGTGTTTAAGTTTGACAAAATACCGAAATCTCATTCGGCGGCAAAAACCTGCTTTTCCCAAAAATTTTCTTATGTAACCCTCCAGATGTGGCACATCAATGTAATCAGGACAACGGTAGCTATCCAAAAATGCAACAAAAATAAAGGGTTGCAATTTAAAAAAAACTGACTTTGATTGTGGCGCCGCCACGCGGCAGAATTTGGAACAACTACATATGCCAAAATATTCCTAGAAAAATAACAAAGTTGACGTGTTTCAGCGTTTTCAAAAAAAAATTACTGTTTTTAAAATAATCTCATGTTCCGGGACTTTACGGACACACTGTATATTACTATTTGGGAACTATCTTGTATATTGCCAGTTACTATGCATATTTAGTAATTTTTAAATATCCATGTATATTAAACCTTAAGGTTATTATTCTCAACCAATTTTGTTTTTAATTCTTATTATAATTAGATAGTAAATTTTAAAAATAAATATAATAGATACGTAACCCATAAGAAACTAAATAGTGTATTTTATTATTTTGTATAATACATTTAATTAAATCATATAGTAAATATTACTATTTGTAGATAGTAAAATCAATTTACTATACGAATATATTCAAAATTAAAATACGTATTATACATTTTTGATCTAATAATATTGGTGTTGTAATCTTTACTAAAATTGTATAATAAAAAATACTATTTCGTATTACAATCTTTATATTTTACTGACGAATATTTAATATTGTTAAACTAAACATTTTTTAATGTAAATTTTAATATATTTTTTTAACTATCTAAAATTTACTATACATTTCTCTCCGTGTAGCGGATCTAAAAATTATTTATTTAGTGCAACATTTTCGGAAAAAAATTAAGATGATGGAGTTCTGAAAGTATTTTCGGTTTCTACAATCAAAATCATGAATTATAGCGTTTACAGAATGTTTAGATTGATTCTGTTTTTTTTTTAATATCAATTTAAAAATTTAGTAATTCTGGATCCCAAAATATCGTAAAATAATAAATAGTTAGTACATAAAAGATAATAATTATAATTATTGATATTGAAAAGATAATAATAATTATAATTATTATAATTATTGGTTTTGTATATTGTTTTATAAAGTAATTTACAATCAAATAAAGAAAAAAAAAATTAATTAAAAAAATAATGAGAACAATATTTTTAAAAAATTGAACCTTTTTCTGGATTTAATATGTTGTTGTGCAATTTCTTAGTTCTTTTGCTTCTACCATAATAATAATTATGGTAATTATTATTATTATTATTATTATTATATTAATTATTAAAAACATATTCTTTTTAACAAATAGAATAAATCATCATAAAAGATTTAAGAAATTTTATTTATAATTTTATGCCAACATTTCCATTGCCATAGACCAACAAAAATCTGCCAACATCGAATCAAACCTCTTTCCTCTATAACGATTATCCATTTCCACTATTTTTTTATGCTCTTCTGATTCGGTGGACAGCTGATTTTCGAACAGGTCAAGATGTGCATGGAGCAAATGTACTTTTAGTGACATGTTTACACCCATTTTTATTTTATTTTTTATTTTTTATTATTTCTTTTTAATTTATTGTTATGACAACAATTTCCTACCAGTTAATTGGTTTAAATTAATAAACGGTTTTTCGGGTTCCAAAATTAATAAAACTTAAAATCGAAATTTAAAAAAAATACCTGAATCAATCTAAACATTCTGTAAACGCAAAAAGGCATTCTTTGGATAGGAAAAACGAAAACCACTTTCAGAACCCCATCATTTTTTTTGCTGTTGCACTGTGTAATTATGTATTAACGTGTTAAATTTCCAAGTAATAAGTGATTTGGTTTGATTTCCGTTATCCATAATCCACTTTAAAAATTAAACAACTTTAAGGTGGTGGCAAAGTGGTCATAACATTTCGTTTACCAGGCTAATTCACCAAAAAGTCATAAAACTATATTTTGCTGGTGCAAATTACATAATTACAAGTATGCAAATATAATATGAAGATATTACAACTGTATCGTGGTAGATTTAGCGGCTAAATTTTAGCCACTCATTTGAAGTTGCGATATCAGTTTTTGTCACTGTAATGCTATTTGTGTTGGATTATGCTATGGTTAATTTTTTAGTGGTAGATTTTATAGAAATATATTTGAAATGCTTGAATTTATTAATATTAATATAATATAATAATACAAAATGCAATAAAAATAACAATAAATGTATTATCGTATTAAAGCCATGTAGGTCTTTATTAGGTTTAAGTAACATTTTTTGAACTGTGTACTATAAATAAATAAACATTTTTAGTTTCAATGTTATCAAAATAATTTGTTAAAATCATTACTAATTTTTATAAAGCTCCAATTTCGTGTACATGAAGGAGCAATTCCCTTATTCTTCTATCGTAAGCTTCAGACGGTGTTCCTTCCAACTTTTTCTTAGCAATTATTTCCCTATCATCACTGTTGCATAGATCCATTAAATCTACCTTGTCCTCTGGGTTTGTTAACTTCACTTTAATAACAATTAAGCTCATGAGCCAACCATATTTGCCATATTCTTTCCATTCTTTTTCCAGCAAGGAATACGGGTAGACTTCTTCGAAATTCAGGCCTGCTATCTTTAAAACATCACTGAAACTCATGTAGTAGACTTGGAGAAGCTCATCTAATCTATCGAAAGTGTCCTTGGAACCTCCTGAGTACAGGCAGTACGATAAATCGTGGACTGGGGAACCTAGTTTTAGTAGTTGCCAGTCTAATACTTTTAGGTCTACTAGTTCTTTTTGTTTCTGAAATAGAAAATAAATGTTTTATTAGTTTTTAAATAAAATTATGTTATAAAAACAAACTCTCATAGTTTTAATTTTTTTATAAAATAAAGTAAAAATATTGGATGATTTAGGGCCGGTTTATCAATGTCCAGATAAGTGTCTTAACTGGTAAATAAAATTAAAGTGGTAGCTAAACTGTTTATCAATATGCAACTAACGTTTACTAAGAACTTAAATTAAGATAACTGGAAGCTGCAAGTGTCAGATAGTGAATTAACTACCAGTTATCGCGGTTTATAGGTTATATTTGTGTTTGTGTAGTGTTGTTTTTGAAATGAATATTGAAGATTTTTTTGAAAGTCACGACGATGAACAAATTGTTGACACGAGAGAAGACTTATACAGTTTTAGAAAATAATTATTTTGTGTAAATTGATGTTTCTTTATTATTTTATAGGTTAACAGTCGTTTGAGGTTATGTGTTTTATGCGCATGCCATGAATTTAAATTTAACCAATTAAAATGTATCTTGATAGTGTTGCCCAAATACGGTATTGCTAAACTGGCAGATAAGAAACGGGAACCTTACGAGGTAAAGAAAAACACTTCTGTTCGGATAACTGTCAGATAAAGGTAACTGAGGAGCAATGAGACAAAAGCAGATAAATCCATTTTGACTTCTTGAATAATTCCTTTTTCTTTTGGTCAGATAAATCAATTGGTAAAGTTAATTTGAAGCTGAAATTATTATATTATATACCAATCATTATAATATACCTGGGTCATTTTCAAGAAACACCCGTTTTCAGGAAAATGAAGATTAAATTTTTTTTTGCCTTAATTGGTTGGATTTTTATAAATGTTTAGAGTTTTATTTACTTACATTTAAGACAGGCAGTGCACTTTTTAAATTTTTTTTACGTTTTTTTCATAAAAATGTAATTAGCTAGCTTTATATATCTCCACTGGGTTACCAACTTGAAATCCAAAATTTAATTCAATAAAAAAGTTGTTATAAAAATAATTTGAAATAAAATGTACTTAGTTCACAAACTTTTGACTCCAATTTTTTATTTTATTTTTTATTAAAAATTGTATGCTTTTTTTAAATATGTATGTTAGGTTACTTTTTAAAAGAAACCATTCCGATTCATTGTTAAAAAAACAATACCATTAATATTTTATTTTAGTCACTGGATTAGTGAGTTAAACTCTAATTTATAAACACCTTTTACCAAGTGATAGTGTATAAAAATCATTTTAAGTATTTTTTTTAACAAAAAAAAGTAAAGATATAGACATTGGTATCACAACGGACTGGGGCACACAAAACACTTAATCAGATAACGTAAAAAAGAAACTATAAAGGGTGGTACGATTTTAGAGTAATGCATAAACAAAATCCCTTGTAGTGGTCCTCACTTGCAGAATAACAACTTAGATTTCTAAATTGTAGACACCCTTTTTCTTTGACTATAAGCTGGTAAAGGTCCCTTTTAGTACTTGTATATTGCGTGGAATTTTCCCTTGGATGTAATCTATATATATCATGAGTTGTAATCACAAATAATTTTAAATTGGTTTATCATAAACTACTTTTAATAAAAGCGACGGTAAATATCCACTTTGTTGTCGAAAAATTCTATTGCGTTACCCTAAATTCCATTGCGTTACCGTAAGGTAACGCAGTGGACAAAGTTTTGTGAAACCATATTTAAAAGATAATAAGACATTACAGTCATTAATTACTCTCAATGAGCTTTGGTGCCCTAAAATAAACATAAACATGAAAAATAGTATTTTTATTATTTTTTTGAGTAACTTAGCAGACAAAAAATTATTACATTCGCGTTACCCGCACATGTTTCAACCGATATCTTTTTCCTGATTGAATAAATAAATTCAGCTGGGTAATGTGTACGTCCGAACATCATTTCTTGATCACGTGAGTGCAAAAAAAGTTGCCATATATATGTTTTTTAATATTCTATCGGTAACGCGACGGGCGTAACGCAACGGAAAAAATGTCTGGGACATGAGTCAAATTTAAAAAAAGTATATTAAAATTAATTATTTTATATATAAACTGTTTACTGTATTAACTAAGGATGTTATGGATTACTATAAAGCAACACAAAGTTCTGGTTATTCAATATTTAAAAAAAAACATGTATGTAAGTTTTATAAAACGCTAATGGGACATTCAAAAATGTGTGTTTCACAAGTTTCAAAATTAAAAAAAAAATATTCTGAAATAACTAAACAAACATTCTCTGAAAGAGTTTACTAAGGGCTTGTAAGGCTTTCACTTGGTTGTTAAATCAATAAGATCCGATAATTTTTAACAAAGTTATTGGAATTTAAACTTACGGACAGCGGAAGGCGGGTGTTTTTTGAAAACGACCCACCTAATGATAACAAGTTTAGCTTGAAATAGATATTTCCAATGGATTTATCTGACCAAAAGAAATGGGAATCATTCAAAAAGTCAAAATGGATTTATCTGGTTTTGTCTGATTCCTCCTCAACTGTAAGATACTTAACCGCCACTTTTAGTTGGACATTGATAAACCGGCCCTTAGTAGTTTAATCTATTTTCTTTTAAATGACATTTGGTCGAATTATGCTTAACATTCTGCAACAAGAACATTAAATTTGGTAATCTAAACTATTTGTATATTTTCGCTTACGTTATATTTCAACATCACATTGTTGCTCCAGCAATCTCCATGGTTTATGACAGGGTCTTGTCCATGATATCCCCAAGAGTCCATGAAATGGAAAACTCCGTTGTTGGAATATTTTTTTTCAAACGCATTTATGGTTTTATCGTCTTGACCAGGTATTAGTTTATTTCCTGTTTGTTTAAAAAATGCGTTCCATAAATTATTATTGCCAGGATTATCGAAGAATTGCGTAGCTACTTCTTTAAAATTCGAAGCGAGTTTTTCGAACTTTTCTGGTTGTGTTTTTCTTAATACGACGGAGGTTGCGTGTAAATTAGCATAGATTTTAAAAAGAACTTCGAAATGGTCGTAAGGTATAATTTTTTCTTTAGGAAAAAGTTCAAAGCCCGATGTTTTTAAATTTTCCATTGCGAGATATTCGTTTTCGGGTTCAGTGCTTGTATAAAAACATTTCGGGGCATTATTAAATTTTGGCAAATCCAGCTCACTTTGTAATTGCTGTAAAACAGGAAAGCACTCCTTGTAGAAGAACACTTCATTTAAAAACACGTCCCTAATAGGGACCTCTTCCCGGATCGACTGATTGGTGAAAGCTCGTTTGATTGCAACGTTGTAAGTTTTTCCACTTCCCTTTGGTGTAATTTTAACGAACGCCATTTCCCCCATATATCCTTCCCCTTTTTCATTGCCTTCACCGTACTCCACATCGTATTCAGCCAACGGGATGTTCTTCGCTATTTTTTCCACAATAGAATTTATATTGTTCACTGCACTCATTGTAAGTATTACTGCACGACCTTACTCTTGTCTATGAGCTAATAACTAGAAATTTCGGTTTAATTATCCATGTTATTTTAAATAATTTAGACGCCCCCCTCCTATCAGAATATATGGAGTAATTATGTAGCTAATTAATCATATAATTTGTTTAATAAAAATTAATCTTTTAAATAAGTAAACAAAAACTTCTAAAACAAATTTTATAAACCGCAGTAATATAATGCATTCGCGGTTCGTGACCTACTTTTAATCCTACACTATGGTAAAGTTAAATTTTACCGTCTTCGTAGAGGCGAGAAGTGTTCTTATGACTCGCCTTGCAAAAATAATTACAAATGGCTAGGCGATTTTTTTTTACTTTTTCCAATAGAGGGCTCTGCAATAATATGTTGACACATACACAAATCCTTTCCCCCTGAGACTGTTTTCTTTTCGTGGGGTTAAAGTAGGGGAAGTGAAAATACCAGTATGATTGGATTAGGGCGCATGCGTTTAAAAAATAAGCATATTTTGTCCCTATTTGGAAAATATAATAAATATAATAAATAATTTTTAATACATTATATAAAAAAAAGCATTTAACAATAACAAATACACAAAATGATGATATTTTAGATTTTATAATGGCATGTTTATCTCAGCAAGAATTTGGCAACGTCGTATTCCGACAACGATAGGTTTTTATCATAGACATATTAATATTGACTGTCAATTGACCGCTACCTATTTGACCGGTCAATTGACCGGTCAAAATAATTTTTGCAGCATTTTATTTAGGTATCAACAATTACCCGTGAATCTCAAAATTTTTGCGATCGTGCAATATCGACATCATTTACAATTTGGTGGTTCCCCGAGTCGAGGGGTTGCTAGGCCGGACTCGGCACTTTGCCCTTAAAGCGGGACATATCTTTTTCAATAGCGAAACATAACTTTTTAAAGCCGCACAAACGTTTCTAAAGATGGACATAACTTTTGTAATAAAAAAAAATTGGTAACGTATTTTAATTAGGTACCTATTTATTAAGTACAAATAAATCACAGTAATATTTATTTTGACATTTTATTTAATTTTATTTTGGTCAATTGACCGGTCAATTGACTGGTCAATTGACCGGTCAATTGACCAAAAACAATTTGACCGGTCAATTCCACAACCCTACTTTTTATAATCAATCTTTTGTTTGTTTTTGGTTGTACGAGGTGTGTTCAGAAAATATCGGGAATTTTCGTTTTTTGAAACAAATATTTATTTATTCGTCTACATTAATGTTGTCGTCTTCAAAATAGTCCCCATTGGATATTATGCACATGTGCCAGCTCTTCTTTCAATACTCTAAACACTTTTAAAACTTGATCTTTGGGATAGACTTTAGTTCTTTCAGCGATGCGCTTTTAATGTCATCTATGCTTGCAAAACGACGGCCTTTAAGGTTCTCTTTATTTTTGGGAATAGGAAAAAGTCAGACAGAGGCATGTCTGGCGAATATGGAGGGTGGGGCATCATTACACTATTGTTTTTGGCCAAAAATTTTGTTCAAAATTTAACAATTTTAGAAAAAATTTTGCTGCCACGCGTTTCATACCCAAAACATTCGAAAAAATTTCATGGGATGAGCCAATCGATATACCAACATCATCAGCGACTTCTCTGATGGTTTATAACCATTTCTTCAACTTTTTCCATGTTTTTATCGGTTGTTAATGTGCTTGTGCGTTCAGGGCGTTCGTCATCTTCAACGTCTTCACGGCCATCTTGGAAACTCTTATACCACTTGTAAACTCTTGTTTTACTTATAGCAGACTCACTGTATGCCTTTGTTAATATTTCACAGAATTTGTTTCATTTTTTAAGCAAAATTGGATACAAATTCTTTGATCCATTTCTTTTAACGAACGAAAAATCGCCGAGCTCATAAAACTTGTCTAACCTTAGCGGCTGCCACAGACAAAGTAAACAATGAAAACAGCTAAAGTTTTTATCATACTTCGGGGGCATGTATACCAACATAATAAAGAAAATGTTATGACAACCGGACCCTCCGAACCCGCGAAATTTAACAATTCCCGTTATTTTCTGAACACACCTCGTATACCAATAATTGTTTTATGTTTTTGCATTGTTTTTTTCATTGTGTTTACGAGATTTTTAACGGGTTTTATATAATATGCATTTTATAAAGCCAAACCACAGAAATGTATCTAAGCTTAACCCAGGCGATGTTAGCAAATAATTTAGAAAAAATTGATATAATCTTAATTTAATTTAGTTCACAATTCGTATCATATGTACAATTGGCGTCCCCGAAATGTGAACGGCAAAATTTAATCGATGGCACTGATGCAAAGCCAGTATTATACTGGCTTTGCATCAGTGCCGTCGGTAGTTGTTCAATTTATGTCAAATTAAATGTCGGTAAAAGCTGCATATTTTATATCAAGAAACGTTGGCAAGAACAACAAAGATTGAGAAGACCTATCAGGCAAAGTGTAGGTAAAATCTCCAACGAAAATGAAGACAATGCTCTTGTTGCACATATTAGGCAAAATCCTTACAATAGCGCAGTTAACGCCCTAGAAGATGCACAATTTCCAGGTTTTTTAACTGACGATAATAAGCGCAGGAGAGTCCAGTTCGCCAATGACTACCTATCTAAATTATGGAATAATGTTATATTTTCTGATGAAAAAACGTTCCAATCTTGCAATAATGGAATGCTGCGTGTATATCGTCCAAGAGACGCAAGATCTGAGGATAACTACACATTAAGAACCTCAAATAGTGGACGCTTTTCCATAAATATTTGGGCGTGGATAAGCGTCCATGGTGCGGGAATATGTTGGGAAATTGATAGTAGATTAACGGCTGAGCACTATACGACGATTTTGGACAACGTTATGCCACCTTCAGTTAGACATGTTTTTACAGAAAATTTTATATTCCAACATGTTAAGAAACTATAGTATACAATAGTTATTTGTTTTACAAGTGTTAAGAAGCGACTTTTTCATGCGAGTTTATAAGTTGCCCACGAGGCCGTTAGGCCGAGTGTGCATTAACACGAGCTTGAAGAACGCTTTTCTCACAAGTATAACACAATGTTTTTTCTGCGACCCTTTTATTTTTTATTATTTTTAAATACAAAACAAAATAACCTAAAAACTTTTTTGACAGCTGAATGTCAAACGGTGCTTTCCGGTTCTTTTCACACAGACCTGTCACTTTTCACACAGAAATGACACTTTACATTCGTGTTTTGCCTTGCCAATGAAAAGATTCATTTTCTAAGCAACGATGCCATCATGAAAAGTGACTTTTACATAGTGGTCGTAGAAAAAAATAATTTTAATAAATATTATATTACAGGACAATACACCAGTTCACACAGCTCGCGTGGTTACAGACTGGGTAAACAAAAACCACATAACTGTTTTGCCATGGCCAGCTAGATGTCCTGACTTAAACCCCATTGAAAACGTGTGGGGTTTTATATATAAAACCCCACACGTTATATAGTTAAAAAATTATATCAACGGGACTTTAGGTCAGCAAACCGAAATGAACTAAGAAATGCTGTTGAAAATTCTTGGGAATACATTTAAATCTGCAGATATTTCACTTAAAGACCATTTTTCTTGAGCAATATGTTATTTTTATTTACCTACTTGTTAATATTGTTGTACAAAAGCAAAATAGAGTTAATTTATTTGTAATATTGTTTATATTATAATATATTGTTTGTTAAAATATTATTAAAAAATAGAATGATAGGTTCTTATTATGTATTCTCCCCCCTATTTGTAACACCACTGGCCGAAGCCAGGAATGAACGAATGAATTTTATGAAAAAATCCATGACAACCAAAAATCGTTCACATTTCGCCAATTGTACATAAACGTGTTAATATGTCTATGGTATCATATAATTTATGAACTGACTATGCGCATAAGGTGGATTATACCCTAAATCGACAAATTTTCACAATTTGTACAAATCACAGTGATTATTGAAATGGGGCAATGATTGATGCCTAACAACGTGAATAATTAATGAATTCATTTTTCCCGTTGTTATGCAGAGAATTTATAATATTTATTATTATATACACAAAAACCCAATATTATGCAAAAGGAGTAAATAAATTTTTTTAAACTTGATTATATATTTTTGGTCTAACTAAAAAGTATAAAATAAATTAATTTATAATGCTCCAATTTCGTGTACGTGAAGAAGCAATTCCCTTACTCTTCTATCGTATTCTTCGGAAGGTTTTCCTTCCAACATTTTTTTAGCCATTTCTTCCTTATTATCACTGTTAGTCATATCCATTAAATCAACTTTGTCCTCTTGATCTGTTAACTTAAATCTTAATACCGTTAAGCTCATGATCCAACCATAATTGCAATATTCTTTCCATTCTTCTTTCAGCAAAGAAGACGGGTAGACTTCTTCGGAATTCAGGCCTGCCTTTCTCAAAACATCACTAAAACTTTTGTAGTAGACTTGGAGAAGGTCGTCCAGTCTATCGAAAGTGTCCTTTGAACCTCCTGAGTACAGGCAGTACGATAAATCATGGACTGGGGAACCCACCTTTACTAGCTGCCAGTCTAATATCTTTAGGTCTATGAGTTTCCTTTGTTCCTAAAATGAAAAATAAATAATAGTATTAGTTAAATTTGTATTTACACGATTTAATATTAGTTTAGATCACCTACTTATCCACTCAAAGTTTTGCACATGCAACAAGGACAAACATTTTTATTGGAATTTTTATTGAATAGGATTTTTCATCATTGGGTAAAAGTTCATATGTAATTTTGTTTTATTTATTTATTTTTTAGATTTAGAAACTAAAGACTTGAGTGATTTATTATTTAAAAATTAACTGTAAACTTTATTTTACTTACATTATATTTAAACATCATATTGTTGCTCCAACAGTCTCCATGATTTATGACAGGGTGTTTACCATTATATGCCCAAGATTCCATAAAAACGGAAAGTGCGTTGTTGCAATACTTTTTTTTATAAACTTCTATAGCTTTGTCGTCCTGGCCAGGTATTAATTTTTCCACTGTCTGTCTGATCATACTATTCCATGCATTTTTAAAAGCACAGTTTCTGAAGAATTGTTTGGAGAGTTCTTTAAAATTTGAAGCGAATTTTTCGAACTTTTCCGGTTTGGTTTTTCCTAATACAAAGAATGTTGCATGTAGATTAGCGTAGATTTTGAAAATAAATTCGATATGGTTGTAAGGTACAATTTTTTCTTTGGGAAACAGCTCGAAGCCTGATGCTTTTAAATTTTCCATTGCGATATATTCGTTTTCGGGTTCCGTGCTTGTGTAGAAACATTTAGGGGCATTATTAAATTTTGGTAAATCCAACTCACTTTGTAATTGCTGCAAAACAGGATAGCACTCTTTGTAGAAATAAACTTCATTTAAAAACACCTCTCTGATGGGCATTTCTTCTCGGACTGGTTTATTGGTGAAAGCCCGTTTAATTGCAATGTTGTAGGTCTTTCCATTTCCCTTTGGTGTTATTTTAACAAACGACATTTCGCCCAAATATCCTTCCCCTTTTTCATTGCCTTCGCCGTAATCCACATCGTACTCAGCTAAAGGGATGGTCTTCGCTATTTTTTCCACAATAGAAGTCATATTATTCGCAGCACTCATGATAAGTATATAGGTATAGCAGCAATAATGTAGTTCGTTTAATAATGAATAGAAAAACGGTCTTTTATTTATACGCCCCCCACTTATTTCAGACTAGAGTAATAACTACACCGCTTAATCATATTATTTGAAAAGCTTAGTGGATATATATGTTAAGTAATGCTAAGCAACAATTATCATGTTTTTGCCTACCACGATAATGTTACTTAACATGTTCGTTCGCTAAGCTATAGAGAAAAGAATTTATCTTTGAAATGCTAGGAAAACACAAAAAAAAAAGAATTATTAATAAACCAAAAACTAATCTAAAAATCCCACTTTGATGTAATAAGAATAGGTAGGTAGCTTTAAGTAGATATCATTCTAAACAATAAGAATTTATCTCCCAATAACAAAGTGACTCAGCCTATTTTTAATATACATAATTATTATACATGGTGTTCATTTTAAAACTTCCTACCCTAAATTTCCCGGAAATTAAAATATTTTTGAAAAAACACCGAGACACGTAAAGTTTTTTATTTCCACCTTCTTAGTAAATGACATTTTATAGGTAAATTTTGTCTCCAAGTAAACGAAACATTTTGGGAACAGACCTGTAATATTTTACGGGCTTGTATAAAAGACCTGTAAAGTTTTACAGGCTTGTAGAATAGTATATTATGTATTAAGTTTGATAAACGCCATTTTATACACGAATTTAATTTAGGCACGAGCGAGCTTGCGAGCGAGTTATAAATTAATGAGTGTATAGAAAAGTTTATAAACGAGGTGCATACTATACTTTTTATACGACAAATACTTATTATTATCTTAAAATGATTTAAATAAAAAATGTGTATAGAGCGCCATCTATGAAACAACAGGGGAAACTGTCAAATGTCACATTTTTACATTTTATAAACACAATTATAAAGGTTATAAATCGAAATGTATATTGAAAATTGACAGTTTTTTACAGTGAAAGTAAAGGAAATGTTTTATGAGGACTTTACAGTAGAGTCTGTGCCCGAATTTAAGTTATAGTTTACTGCCGGCGAAATTAAAAGGTCAGTACAATGTTCATATAAACTTTTCAAATATTGGCGTTGAGAAACTATTAAATATTTTTGTATTTTTGCATTGAGATAATAAAATAATTTTCACATTTAGTATTATTTTACAAGAAAGGCACTTTATTTTAACGATTGTATGACATTTGACAACTGTCAACTAACTTAAAACTACCACAAACTTTCAGCTCGCCCGTAAAGATTCATTTACAAAGCTTGACACGTAAATAACTATTATCGAGGGGGACAATTTTTCATGGATAAATTTGGTTTCCTACGCTTACCCCCTGCGCCCAGGAGCTACCCCCTTAAGAATTTGAATAGTGTGGAGACCAATACCAAGTAACGAAAGGTTACATAACGAAGATGTTGAATCAACGGCGACAGGATGACTATCATCCGATGACACGCAACCTTTATAATCTGTGAGTCAGTCATCGTCGAACGCTGACGGGTGAATGTTGTTGATATTAGTTGTAATCAATTATTGAGTTCAAATAAGTGGTCTAAACCAATCGGCGTGTTATTGTGTAGACCTGGGATACCACAAATAGGAAAGGGGTATCGAGTAATACATCATTTTAAATTTTTTTAAATTCCTACATATTGCAGCTACCCCCTTAAGAATGACAGAAGAGTCCAGTTCTTTGAAATATTTACCAAAAAGATTAATAATAATAACTTATTTATTTTACGGATGAATATACTTTTTATTTAAATGGTTAAATGGGTTTGTAAATAAACATTACTGCAGATATAAGAATTCAGTATACAGTATCCAGAAAAAATTTATGTATGGGCAGGAATTTTAGAAAACCAAGAAATTGGTCATAAAAATATAAATGAAGACAATGAATTTACAAAGAAATGTATAGGGCAAAAAGGACTGGCTAGAACACCTAATTTATTAGGGTGTCCGGGAAAAGGAGGTCAATCCGTTAACCATATATTTTTTAAGTTAAAACAATAAGACTTTCATAATACCATTTTTCAATTTAGAGCTTCATGTTCGATATACAGGGCGACAAAGTTTGAAATTTAAAACTGATTTTTTTTAATAATTCAAGTAATTGATAAGATATTTAGTTTAAATTCGGTACTCTACTTTAAAATAAATAGTTACATTTTTTGAGACCAACAAAACAAAAAACAATTGTCAAATAATCAAAATAGGGGGTCACTGACTCCCCCTATTTTATAGTACGTGCGCCAATGACTTCCAAACGGTATTTTTTCAGGTAATCATTCATTGTTGAAAATTTTTTGTCCCTTATAAAATTTTGTTAAAATAATTTGTTTTAGAGATAAGTTGTAAAGTATGGGTCAATCCATATCAAATTTTTGAAATTTAATTTTTTTTTTTAAATTTAGGTCATGTGATATATCATAAAAAAGGTCTCTAATAGGCCTTTAAAATAAGCCATTTCTACTTTTAATAGTTTACGAGATATCGCTATTTTTGTAAGTACTTGCAAAACCCAAATTTATCGGAATTTTTTGATTTTCAAAAATCAATAAAACAAAAATCACCCATCGAAAAAAATTCATATATGGGATTTTTGAGTTTTTTAGGGAGGTAAACAAATTTACCAAAAATTATCAAAATCGGAGATGGTGGGGGAAGAACCTTTAGTAGATTTGATATGGACTGACCCATAGTTTACAAATTATCTCTAAAACAAATCATTTTATCAAAATTTTATAAGAGACAAATTTTTTTTAACAATAAATGATTACCTGAAAAAATACCGTTTGGAAGTCATTGGCGCACGTACTAAAATTAGGGGGAGTCAGTGAGTACTGGACCCCCCCCCTATTTTTATTATTTGACAATTGTTTTTTTGTTTTGTTGGTCTCAGAACATGTAACTATTTATGTTGAAGTAGTGTACCGAATTTGAACTTAATATCTTATCAATTACTCGAATTATTAAAAAAAATCAGTTTTAAATTTCAAACTTTGTCGCCCTGTATATCGAACATGAAGCTCTAAACTGAAAAATGGTATTATGAAAGTCTTATTGTTTTAACTCAAAGAATATATGGTTAACGGATTGACTTCCTTTTCCCGGACACCCTGTATATAGTATATATAATAAATGATATACACTGGATTTTTTTTCTGTGGGGTTATTTAAAGTCTGTTGTTTGTAGCCCTCAACCTTAAAACTTAGAAGGGCTTTGTTAGTTGGGTGTTGATAGATCACACTTAAGTAAGCAAGTTTTTCATTTATCACTTTTTATTAGTGCTATTTTAAATAACAAAAAATCTTAGAAATTAACATTATTCTTAGGGGTTTGTTTGGCAGCCACTGGTTTCGTTGCGTTAGAAACAACTGTCAAGCCGTTAATATCATCGACAGCAGTACCGATAAGAAACACAGTTAAACAACTGGCCAACTCTACTTAGTCCGTCGACTCCAAGCGCTGCCATACAAATTCCTGAGAAATTCCCGATTATATATTGACTGAATATTTGAAACATATTGCAGTTAAAATAATATGCATTAGTGAAACATGGTGTGAATCTGACAACATTGCATTTGTATATTTATACAACTCTAATATTGTATGAAATTATAGGTCATCTATGGGTGGTGGTGTAGGAATCTTGTCATAAAGACATTGACGCAGTTTCTTTAAAGAGATTTTGAATATTGTGGTAATAAATCAAAAATTAAGAATGCGTGATTTAATGTGCCTACTTTTTATAGACTGTGATTTTAACGTATTTTGTGAACAATTGTCTTATGTTTTGGATTTGGTATACCAACCATCATTTGGATTAATCATTAATGGGGATTTTAAATTGGGTCCTGAAAGATATATTATATGATATATGAGATATATATGGGTCCTGCAAGAGATATTAAAAAAATACACAATTGTCTTATGTTTTGGATTTGATGTTGGTATACTAACCATTATTTGAATAATCATTAATGAGGATTTTAAATTGGGTCCTGAAAGAGATATTAAATATCTCTTATACAAATACAAATACTACAATTGCATAATATCTGAAAACACAATTTGCTGTAATCACAAGACATTACAAATTTAGAAAAAAATATTAATTATAAAAATTAGTAGGTTAAATATATTTTTCTTTTTTTTTTTCTAGCCAAAATAAAACTTGGTTAAGTGCATTTAACTCAAAAAGTGCTGATCTAGGTTTTAAAAATTTTCATGTTTAATTTTTACGACGTTTCTAAAGATTCTGGAACCAAAAAAAATAGTATGGTTTTGACCCCAGTTTTAGAATCAGAACTAGGTAAATATAGTTTTGGTAAAGTAATAATTTCTATAGCTTCTGTCGTATTCTTAAGGTGAATAATCTTTAAGAAAGGTGACAATTTCTCAATTGAGTATTTCCGTCCTGTAGATTGATTTCTGTTTTTTGAAAAAAATTTGAATAATGTTTTTTTGTTAGATTATAATTTTTTTTTCAAGTAACAATATTATTATTTCCAACCAATTTGGTTTTAAAAAAGAACTTTTATGAAAATATTACGTGTTACATGGAAAACGGAGAATGTCCGACAGGAATTTTTTGTGACCTTACTGTATTCGACTGGTGTTAGAGGTCCTGCTCTAGGCTGGTTGGCCTGTTTAAAAAAAAAGGCAGTGACGCAGCACTTAAGCAATTCAAAAAAGCAGTGTTTCAGATCTGGCAACCAAAAATGTACCCTTGAAGTACTTTCTATAGATACCTCAGATTTTACACCTCGCAAAATTCAGTACGTAGATTGGATTTAAAAATTGATAATCAGTCTTTTGTAGAAACTTCTAATACCATATTTCTGGTCCTAGCCTTAAGTGGGATAATCATTATAAAAATTTGACCAGAAACTTAATTAGCCTTTGCTACTTTAAGAAGACGATCTGTGGCAAATGAGCAGAGTCTCGGCCAAACAAAACTACATACATATATGTATACATATATGTA